TACAAGGCTTTTTTAAAGCCTTATAAGTAGCGCGCTCGTATCTAGTTACGAGGCTATTGCGGGCGGGAAGTAGTAGTTTTAGGCACAAAAAGTAGTATTAGGGGTAGGGTATAGGCCCGGGTAAGACACTAACAGTGGGTGCCTCGCTCGGGTGATGCGTGCGGGAAGTGGCATCGCCAGCGTCGCCCTATATCAACTTACTTAAAAGCCTGCTGAGACCGCCTGCAAGGCGTAGCCGCCTGCTCAATAGGGCATCCGTCGACAAGGATACACGTCGGAGGAGGACCATTATACGTTCAAGTCAACTCCATCAGCGTGGGGAGAGTTCACGAAAACAAATAGAGACTATCACTGGGGCATATGGGCCTTCTTATCCCTTAATCAAATCCGAGTCAGGGGCGTCACAGTCTCTGTACAGAAATCTGTACAAAAGATTACTTTAGGGATCTGGTCTCTTTGATTTGTACAACCCACACCAAGCTCACTTGTTGTCTGATCGATATATCAATCTAGCAAGTGATAGCGAGTCTCGGTTGTGCATGGGAGGCCATCCCAAAGTTATTTCCTACTCCTCGGGAGAGGAACACATGATGTTAAATTCCCAGCCTGATCAGGTTGGCACCATTATGGTGATGCTTGGCCAACCGAGGAAGCAGAATGAAAATAGATGACTCGCTGTACTACCTATCTCATCTCATTCCTTGGCCAGAATCCGGTTGCACGATCTTTGGGCGCGACGTGCAGGCACCGTCACACAGCTCATGCGACTAGTTGAAGCTGTGCTAAGCTTTGAGATATGTCTGTTTCCCGTCTGCCTCAGTGGACGCCTCCTCAGCCACCGTACTACCGCCGCAGGGTCAATCACGCCACGAACTTACCCCTGGGATGGTGTCGTCGAATGGGGAAGCGCCAAAGACAGTCTTGCGGCAATCAGTGACGAGACCTGTCTCTCAAAATCCCAGCTGAACAGCCGGCGTGGCCCCGCAAGGCTTCTTTTGGCGCCCCAGACGGCACGCTGTACAACGTTCGAAAGACAAGACTTCAATACGGTTGGGATACATAAGTAGCGTTCGGTCCGAGTTCACCTGGAATGTTTGTAGAACGCTCTGCCAAGGGATTGTTGTGAAATACCACGGGGCCGGCACAAGATTGACTCCCAGGGCTCCCAGGGGAGTTTATGCATTCCACGCCCGCAAATGCCGGAAAATCTTAGACATTACGGCGCTCATATTGCCGACATCATCCGGCAATACCACCGTAACTCTTTCCTCACGGGGCTCAAGGTGGCGCATCTGAATAGGACAATGTCTTACCCAGGAAAACGGCACAAGTGCGGATAGCGCGGTGTGTTCCAGACCGCGAATGACAGTAATGACCCAGTTCTACGGCCCGAGGCCGCGTCGACATATGGCAGGATATGTCAGATCGTGACGCGGTATACGCTCTTTTGAGAACGAATGCCCGGCTGAACATGACGAGTCTTTGTGAATTTGAACTTGCTGTAGACTTTATTCGAATTTGGATGTGTAGTTGAGAAAATGGCATTTCCGGTGCTTTACGCTTTGTTCAAGGGACTTACGGTGGTTAAGGTTCGTTTTCGAGAAACATCGCACTCCATTCTGAGCCCTCCGTGCAACAATAACACGAACCGCCTCTCTTTACGCGACTGAATTCTGATGTCTCTTGGTGCCAACCGGCAAAGTCCTAGCCAAGCCAAGGACTTTTCTGTCCAACCATCCCTCTTCACCCTTCGCAAGGAGAGGTAGGGCTAGATCATGATGATCGGGAGCTAACGTCCGCAAGTAGACACTCGGACAACAGGACAGAAGCGAAGCATCGCCTACTACTAGGCACAGATGAGGCATGAAGAGGATATTGCTGCATTCTTCGAGGTGGTTCCGCTTTTCAGGGGCGACTGTGGCATCGAAAAGCTTCAGAGAGCATTTTCAGTCTTCTATTTCCAGACAATGTCAACACGATGGCAAACGAAATCCGAGATAAAAAGACGGCAATATTGCCTCCTCAGACGACTTTCTTTTCACTCTCATCATCACACTAATCACGACATTCTTTCCTTGCCCTTCGGCCACATTCATTCTTTCAGTTTGACCTCATTTCTCTCACTAACCGCCAGAGGTCTAGTCACTCTTTAGTAATCGCTCTTGTCACTCTCTTCGCAATGGCGCTCCGCTCTATCGCGGCCGTTGCCCTCCTGGCCCAGGGATCTGCGGCCCAGGTTCTCGGGCTCCCGCTCCCCACTCTTCCCATTAACGTCGGCCTTACCACCACGATTGCAGGCGTGGGCGTCGGTGCCAATGTCGGCAACACTGTCAGTGTCAGCATCGGTCTCGGCGGTGTTGCCACCGTTGTTGCTGGCGTGGGAACCACAGTTGCCGCCTCTGTTGGTGTTGCCGGAGCCACCGTCACTGCTGGTGTCAACTCAGGAGGTGTCGCAGCCTCAGTCGGTGCTGGTGGCCTCCCGGTCACCGTCGGAGCCGGAACTAACGGAGTCGGTGTCGGTATTGGCGGTGTTGCCACCGTCGGCATCGGTGGTGGTGGTGTCAGCGTTGCTCTCCCCATCGCAACCCTCGTTCTCAACCCCGTGGGCGTTGTCTCAACCCTTCCCGGAGGAGGTGTCACGACTGTTTTCCCGTCTACAACAGTCAGCTCTGTTGCCTCAAGTGTCACCTCAACTCTGGCCGTAGCCACCTCGTCCTCAACGGCCGCAGGCAGCACAGGTGCTTCCACTGTCTCCTCCGCCACTACTGGAATCACCAGCGTGCCCTCCGTCTCCACCAGCGTTGGATCTGCTACGACCTCTGTTGGCACCACCAGCATCGCCTCATCCTTCACCTCGACTGTCGTATCTACCTCCAGCTTCGTCAGTGGTAGCAGCACCATCGTGACTACCCTCTCAAGCGTCACCTCGGGCGTTACCAGTGTCCCTTCGGTCACCACGAGCATCGGATCAGGCACCTCTTCGGTCATCACCACTAGCGTTGCTTCTTCCTTCACATCCACGCTCGTGTCCACCTCGAGCTTCACTAGCGATGGCAGCACCTTTGTCACAACCATCAGCTCTACGTCCGAGGGCGTCACCAGCGTTCCCACCACGTCCACCATTGACGCGCAGATTTCTTCCTCCAGCTCTACGTCCACGTCCACCTCCAGTGCTGCTGCGTCCTCCAGCGCGTCTGTCAACCCTCTGACTGTCGGTGATGCGAGCTACTTGGGCTGCTTCCGCTCTCCCACAAGCTTCCCGACCTTTGTTCTCACTCAGTCTGCTGCGTCCATGACCATCGAGCGTTGCATTGCTGCTTGCCCATCCAGCAAGTACGTCGGTCTCTTCGCCAATGATTGCTTCTGTGGCTCAACTGTGGACTCTGTCAACGAGATCTCCGTTCCTGATGACCAGTGCAACATTCCCTGCGGTGGCAACAGTGCTGAGCGTTGCGGTGGCCAGGTCGGACTGACCAGGCGTCAACTCATTGGCCTCAACGTCCGCTTCACCATCTACATCCGCCTCGGACTGGCTGGTGGAACCACCGCGTCTGCGACTGTTACTACTTCTTTCACAACCACGACTACTGGAACCGTCACTTCTTGCCCTCCTGGAGTCTCGACCTGCGCCATCGGATCTCTCACCACCGGCGTTACCACTGTCACAACCACCTACTGCCCTACTGAGACTCCCGCGCCCAACCCCTGCAGCAACGGACAGTGCTACGGCCAGCCGTGCTACGGCGATGACTGCTACAAGAAGCTCGTTTGCTACGGTGACTACGTCAGCTTCGATTACCCCTGCTACGGTGATGAGTGCCGCCGTCGCCTCGTGTGCGTGGACGGACTCTGCCACCCAGAGACTTGCAGCGGATACGACTGCGGCCGCAAGATCATCTGCAAGAGTGGACTCTGCGGATACTCTCAGTGCCAGGGAGACGAGTGCATCAAGGAGAAGATCACCTGCTACGGCAACGCCTGCAAGATCGAGACCTGCTCAGGAGACGAGTGCTACAAGAAGTACGTCTGCACTGGCGACATGTGCGAGCACGAGACCTGCCCGTACACCGACGTCAACAAGAAGTACGAGTGCACCGACGACAAGTGCAAGGTCGTCACGCCTTGCAACGGTGACTGCCCCAAGCCCCAGCCGCCGAGCACCCTTCCGTACCCCACCGGCACCGCCCCGGCCATTCCTCCCGCCAGCCCTCCAGCGAACCCCCCGGCTGTGCCTACGGTTACTCCCCCTGTCGGACAGCCTCCTTTGAACCCTTCCGTGTCGGTCTCGCCTCCCGTCAACTCTGCTCAGCCCCCTGTTGGTGCACCTCCTTCAGGAGCGCCTCCTTCCGGCCCTGCAGTTACGCCCCCGGCCGGCCAGCCTCCTTTGAACCCTTCTGTGTCGGTCTCGCCTCCCGTCAACTCTGCTCAGCCCCCTGCTGGTCAGCCCCCTGCCAACCCTCCCGCAGGTCAGCCCTCCGTCAACCCCACGGCACCCGGCGGTGGTGTTCCCACAGGAGGCGCCAAGCCCCCTGTTGTTACCGTTGCCGGTTCCAGCAGATCATCTGTTCCGTTCAGCTTCATCGGCATGGCTCTGGGTGCAGTTGCTGGAGTCGTCTTCCTGTTGTAAGAGAACTCGGTGATCAAAAGACTCTTCTTCTCATGTACTGGTTCTTCAAATAGAGGAGCTTGCTTATTCACTTCTTCCAACGGACTCTACATATGGGTTGCGTTTCTTACAATATCGGGTTCATGGTTGACTTCAGGTCTAGCTAGGAAGGTGACCGTTTCCAGACGGTTGTAGTAATTGTTCTTGGTCTATTCCACTGCTTCAAGCTCGGGTGTTCGTTGTGAATTTAGATTAATCTGGGATCTGATGACTGAGATATAATGGAATTCAACGCTTTTGCAAACCACGTGCGTACCATTCCTGTGACTCTAACTACCTTTAACCTCCATCCTCTATAATTGACCTTGATGATACCTGTAATTACTAAAAGTACTCAATCTTGAGCTCCTCGCCCTAGAGCCCGTATCTTTGCGCCCCAGATCCAAAGTACGACGGGGCATGGCAGTCCAACTCCTATGAACACAAATGCCAGCAGACTATTGCCCCAGCCGTATCCGAGCCTGCTAAACAGTTGTGGGGCGAAGATGGGGAAAGCGAAACCAAACACATTGGACAGCATACGTGCTGCCGCGCTTGCCGATGCAGCATGTTTGAACTCATCAATCAAGTAAGCGTTTATTGCAGAACCCGTGATGAACGTTCCGCAAGTAAAGATAGCGGCGCCGACATCCACGAAAGCCCAATGCATGCCCCTCCCTGCCGCCCATCCATACCAGAACAAACCTACGGGGAGGAGAATGACACCAATGATGAGGTAGGGCACTCGAAACTCCGGAGTTGTCTCGCCATTGGATATGTCTCGGAGACGTCGGAAAATGTAGTCCATGAGTGGACCTCCAGCCTGCGAAGAGATTGTGATGCCGATGGCTAGAGCAATGTAGTTGAGCGTACTTTGGGTTTGTGATTGGCCGTATTTGTCCATCCAAAGGCTGGCAAATGACGAGAGAACGAGCACGTAGAGACCGAAGCTGATTGCCCAAATCCATGATATAATCAGGATGATTGGACGACTGGTTAGGATTATCATCGGTCTGAGAAGATGGATGGATAGTCCCTTGGAAAGCCCCCTGTGGACAACTCCGGTCCCGGGCTGATCGAAGCAACTGCGGCTGCTCGGGAATCGACTTTTAAGTCTGCGCTGAAGCAAGATCGGCGTGTAGGTCTCATGTACCAAGAAGTATGCGACGAAAGTGTTTGCTGCTGAGAATATGGACAATATCCAGAACAGCCACCGCCACTCGATATGATCCGACACAAGCCCGCCAACGATGGGGCCTAGCGCGGGGCCAAAGTATGGGATGAACGATGCTATTGCAAGAGATTTACCACGGTCTTTGGCCCGGTACATGTCAGCCATGATGGGACCTGTCAACTATCAACCATCGTCAGTTCATGCCTACGTAGGAATTAGCGAGAATGTAATCGGGGTTCAAATACCACTACACCAGCACTGGCTCCACAACCGGACAGGAACCTTCCGGCAATCACAACGGCGCACTCTTTCCGACGGGACAGAGTGCATTCCAAAGCTGATAGAAGCAACACGAACCGATCCAGACAGGCTTTCTCCCATACATCTCAGACAAAGCTGCGATCAGGAAAGGGGCAAATGCTTGGCCCAAAACGAATAGCGAGAAAGTGATTTGTGTTGTGGTAGCACTGATACCAAGATCTCGCGATATTTGTGGTAGAGCGGATGCCATCATGCTGGTTGACATTAGAGTGATCAACTGCCCAGTTGAAATCAGTACCGCAATTGTAACCTTGCGATACGTCGGCCAGTTGTAGGGATCATGGGGGTCATCTGGACTTTCCCAAGTTGCCTATTCACGAACAGAATATGTGAGCGATTGCCGCCGCAAAGGATGTGATAAATTGAGCCTTTACCCCCTGATCCTGGTACAATTGTTGTAGTCTCCCCTTAACAGCCTCATCTGCGGCTATTGTTGGTACCGTGGTTACAACCTTGTATTGGTCGCCACCACTCGCATTATTAATCTCCATGTCGTCGAGATGACCGTGTCCCTTATGATCCATAGTTTAATTCAAACGCGCAAAAGGTGGTCCGGGTTGAGGCTTTTGGCAAAATAAACGGCCGCCCGGCAGAGCAGTGTGGTACTCTGTTAGAAGAACCTCGAGTATTTATATCCGTAGAGCCAGTCTTACGTCGATGACCGACTGATACTCGGCTCCGAGGCCCAGAAGTCGGAATCCTACATCGTCCCCCTGGTCAGCTTGAGTCCAGGCTACATGAGACCAAGCGCTCCGTATTCTGATGAACTTCAGATTGACGTAAATTCACATCTCGATGCTTTCAGATCCGAACCTTCAAAGACAATACATAGAGCCAAGCATTTTCCTTAAATTTGAACCTTAACTGGAGGTGTATATTAAGGGATATCAGAGAAGCATTCCAGAATATTTTTTCGCTCAATAATAATCCAAAAGAAAGTACTTATCTTCTCCTTTGGCTCGTATGTGGTACCTTGAACAATGACTTGATTAGGAAAGTGAAAAGAAGAACTAAGTGCAAGAGTCAACGACCAGCACGATGCTGACTTCCAAGTAGGATGATGTAGAGGGTACGAGCGTCCAATATCAGAGATAATTTCCCTGTCAATTTTGTATCCTGTTTATAGCGGCCCAGGCCACTCACACCCTGAATATTCAGTCTCCGATGATGATCAATTGTCGAGTCTGCAATATCTTCGGCGATCATGGCTGTACCGATTACTTGAAATCTCGCGTAGTCTTCCTTATTGTAATCCACCTTTCGCCTGCCTGTTGGCCTCACGAGCAAGGCCGTCTTGGTGCCTCCAACCCAGCATACAATGTCTCCCAATGCAGCTTTGCTTGGAACGACCCCCATTTTCCACTCAGGACTTTGATCAGAGTGACGACCAGTCCGCAGCTGATACAGGAGAGTTTCAGGGTCTTGAGAGTCCTCGGAGATGTCATACGATGAATGGTCGGGGTGGCTTGAGAAGCTTCCAGGAGATCCCATTATGTGCTTGTTTTCCTCCATCCAATCTAGCAAATCTGTCACAAAGTAATTGCGATCGATTCGATCCTCCCAGATGACAAGACTGGACTGATTGAAGCACATTTGTCCAATGACCCTGTTCTCTTTGTTCAAGATGGCCCCTATAAGATCGTCGCTCTGCCTGCAGGCATTTCCGAGATCGTCTCCGTAGTTGGTTTGGACCCCATGGGACCACTCGTCGACTTTATCTAGATTGCCAGCCACGTCTTTCACTGAAGGGCCTAGAGATCGAATAGTTCCAAGGAGATATCCAGTCAATTTGAATGCGTGGGGGTGTATATATCCATGTCGGAGTGAGATAGGTTGTCTCTCAGGTTCTGCAACATAGGGTCTCAAGATTTGTTGAATCGGTGTGCTTCGTGTCCCCATGAGAAGGAATTTGATCAAATTTGCGTGCGATAAAATATCAAGTTCATTCTTATCATCGAACATGCTTCGGCTGTTCATGAACTCCATCGTTTCGGTCCAAATTTGAATCACTGACTTGTCATAGTCTGGGCTGGGGTAGCCATTGCCATCTACTGCTAGACCAATCAGCCCAAAGATCTTATCCTTTGGGTCTTGGCATCGAGACCTCTGGTGATCGTGAAGAAGACGTCTCAAAGTATGAGAACCCTGGTATTTCTGTTCGACTTGCTGGTTTAATCGAAGTGGCCCTTCATTCGTAACGCTGTGGTGGGTCATCATCCTGATGAAATTACCCCAGCTCAACTCCATGTTTCCAAAGCAGACCCGCCTCTGCCTAGCATGTCCGATCTCTTGAACGATCCAGACTCGGTTCCAGTACTCGTCTTTCGCCAACCGAAGCACCATTTCGCGCTCGCATTTCAAATTTGTCGCATGTTCGTCGTTGGCCTCGCCGGATTCCGTCGCAGTGGTCGGGCTTTCATCCATCGAGCTCTCTTCTGGAGCAAAGCGAGCCTCGAGAGGGCCCATTCCCTCTTGGAATTGTGAATAAGTACTTCCCAACCAAACAACGACTGTTCGTGCTCTGAAGTAAATATGTCTCATAATGGCAACCTGCCTGTTGCGCTCCTGCACATTCGCTTGGTCAATGCAGATCGCGTCAACCCACAGAAGTCCGCCATTGCCTCTATTCTGGAGGTAGAGCAGAGCATCACGAAGATTCTTCCTCACGAGGAATGGATGACCATTGAGCACAATCGTGTGCACAGGAGCCTCTTCGCCCCATCTGTATGACAGAGCTTCGTAGCTTGGCTTTTCACCGAATGCAATGTGATTCAAGGCGCAACTTATGGTAGGGTCGCTGGCATTTTTCGCAGGATGAATACTCAAGAATCTCGTGCAGTCGACCCCTTTTTCCAAGGGCTGATATTGGAAAGACGCGGTCTTGTCTATCGGTTTCGGTTCAGAACGGCGTTTCGACTCGTTGGCTGACATCGCTGATGGAATATTCGTAGCAGCTTCCAGATCTTTCAGAAGCCAGACACGAGTCCCGTGTTGAAAGCTCACGCGTGGTGACTGGACAAGACTAAATGAAAACTTTGGTAGTGGGAGAAAAACTTTTTGAGGTAATCAGGACTGCTAGGCAAGCAAATGCAACCAGCAAAAGAGTCCCTCGTGAAATTAATCAGTTGACCTTGTATTACCCCTCAATTTGGCATTGCCTGATGGAAGCCTTACTTTAGGCAGCAGAGCGCTTGATGACGAACTTCAATTGGCGTAAACGCTCAACCTGCATGAAGGCAGCCAACGACCATTAAATACACCCGGCCATCTGAGATTGAAGCGTGAACATAATCCATTGGTTCATGCAACCACCATAGTCCTGATCCCGAGTTTCTAGCCTTCATGTTCCTGGAAAGTAACACTAGAAATGGTCTGATAAACTGAGCTGCACATTCTGCAAGGCTGTAAGCATCGGTGTCAATGACACAAAATCTCTAGGCCCTGGTTTTCTAGAAGCTCTGGCAGTCATCGACCGTCCAATCTATGTCTCAATGTGCTGTTAAAATGGTGTTGGGGTCAAGGATTCTAAATTTCCTTTCCTGGCGTCGTTCTAGTGGTCTAAAGGATTCCTCGCTCTGCTTCTCAAATCTTATGTGCTCGAGGATGCTGCATACGGATGCGAAGCTGAGACTTGGGTCCAAATGATGACCTGGCGCCGAAAGAGTCATCGCAACACATATCGCGGTCCCCGAGTCAGGCGATTATCGATATCTGTCTCAATTCGACGTTCTCCGTACGCATGTTGTTTGCAAACTCAAAATAAATGAAAGCAATCAAGGGGGTCCCATGAAGTGAACCCAGTGACTTTTGGGTTGAGATAAAAACGAAATCCCTTATCACTAGGATCTGATGTAATTGAGGTGTCATATGAGCACTGCACAAAAGCAGTGGTTTCAAATGGCATCGAAGCAGCCACTTTGGCTTCACCCCGTCAAAACCCCTTGAGACTCCAATCTCCCTGGGTCGAAATGTGGTTGAACGTGGTTTTGGGGCTCAATCTAAGGCTGACTCGTGTACTTCCAGACAAGCTTTGATCTTCAACCTCAGCGTTCTTAATTCGTCCAGCCCTGGCTTATCTGACAGCAATTTAGGACCCCGGACTCATCTGCTAATTGAGTTAGCTCTGATAACGAGAACTGGACAATTACCCCGTCCAAGCACTTCATCTCAATGGCGACTTGACAAGAGGTAAGAGATATCGAAACCGTTTGCTTCCTTTCGTTCTTTTCTAGTAGCTCATGACATCCGACTAGACACAATGCTGGTCCAAAAAATGACAAAGCCCTGGGTTCTCTATGCTGTACCCCCACGTGAGGGGCACATGCGACCAGCGCTTCAAATCACCAAACATCTCGTCAGCAGCGGCTTCGACGTTACGGTCTTGGGAACAAAGAGGTGGAAGCCGATAATCGAGGCAGTCGGCGCCCATTTCAGTCCCATCATCGGACTCTGGAAAACCCTCGACGATCCATCTCGCTGGCCAGACATCGCACACGCATCGGATCCAGCCACGAGACTTGCCGCATCTCTCGATGGGGGATTCATCTCGTTGCTACCAAGCGGGCTGGAGTCAGTGCGGGTGGCGTTGGCGGGTATGAGGCGACGAGAGCCCGACTGCCAAATCATCGTTCTGTCGGATACGTGCTTTTCTGGGACGCTGGCGTTGAAGTTGGGCACCGACTTGCCAGAACTGTTTGCAGAGGACGAGGTTGTTCGGACTATCGGGATCGGTGTCGTGCCAGTGTTCTGGACCAGCCCTGAGCGGCCACCATGGGGATCTGGACTCCCTTTCGATGACAGTGAGAAAGGGCGGACAAGGAATGCGAAAGCATTCAAGGAGACGTGGAACAGCGCTGCTGAAGATCGCGCGAGGTGGGTTTTGGGAATGATGGGATGTCCCAAGCCCGTTGAGTGCCTTTACGATGGACTCTCAACGAGCATGGAACATCCCTTCTGGGATGCATCGACGGTCTGTCACGACACAGTCCTGCAGATGTGTCTCCCGAGTCTTGAGTTTCCGTCATCCGACTGGCCACGGAAAATCAAGTTCGCGGGCACACTCCCGATCAAACCTATTTCAACTGACCTCACATATCCAACGTGGTTCAACGACGTTCTCTCAAACAGCTCATCTCTCCAGGTATCAAATCTCAATCGCAAGAAGATCATCTTTGTGGCCCAGGGAACGGAAGTCCTGGACCACAAGGAACTCATCATCCCGACAATCAAGGCCTTTGCTACACATCACGATGTTCTAGTCGTCGCGTGTCTTTGCGTGACCGGAGCAACTCTCGACACAAGCACCTTCACGGACGGGAAATTGACCGCAAATGCTCGGGTGGTGGATTACTTCCCGTATGACGCGATTCTGGCACACGCGGACGTCTTTGTGTCGAACAGCGGGTACAGAGGGTTTCAGCATGCGGTTTCGAATGGTCTTCCTATGGTGCAAGCAGGCAACACGTTTGACAAGCCAGACATTGGGAGAAGGATCGAGTGGTCTGGCTTGGGGGCGTTTCTAGCCGAGTCACCTCCATCTGTGAGCGTCGTGGAGCAGGCAGTCACAGAGGTTCTGGGTGATGAGAAGTATAAGAGACGAGCAGAGGAGCTTAGGAAAGAAGCGGGCACGTTTGATCCGTTGCGCATGATTGAAGAAGAGATTATGCGTTTAGCTCAGTCGACGGTGCCTTCGTCAAGTTGAGCAAATTGTATGGTATTCAAATGACAACAAGACTAATCAGCAACCTGGCCTTGCAGGCAAAAGAGATACTGTATGTAATTATTCGACTTGACTTCTCTATCAGTGTAGATCTCCCAGGCTGGTTCAGCTCCAGCAACCGCAAGCCGTCGCCACCTACTCCTCGTCGTCCATTTCCTCATCCCCATTTTCAAAATCTGCCTCACGCTAAGAGATGTTAGCTGCCTTTCTTCGGCGATGTCATATAGCAGCAAAAGATTCATACCTCGAGACCTCCTTCTGTGTTCTGAAGCTCCATCATTCCGTACACAACGTCCGGCAACTCAAAGTCTTTGGGAGCGGTAATGATACCAAACTCAACCAAGCCATCAAAGTTGCTACCCCACCAGCTGCGGCCATAGAATCCGACAATACACTCGTCTGCTTGCGCCTCTGTTTTGTTATACCAAGTCAGTAATCTCATGTGGCAAATTGGACACCAGGTTACTTACCAAGAGTCGAGGTCTCGGGAATATCCCCATATCCCGTCAAAGCACCGCCAGACGAGCCATTACTCAGATGAATCCTCATACCGCGAAGGGTATCCTCCTCCCTAGACACCTCAATCTTGACAATCTCTGCACCCTTGGGGATCTTAACCTCCTCAGAGGCATGACCGCCAAACGTATGCTCACCACCACCCCACTTATTGATCCGAGGACCACAGTTCACACGATCGCCGTCAGGGAAATGCACATACGCGCCGTCAAGGATACATCCAGTCCGCACATCCACCGAGTTCGCCCGCACAACAGACCCATCGCTCTTCCGGCGTGTAAGCAGCGTCGCCCACGACCAGAACTTTTCTCCCTCGCCATCATCGGCCGACTCCTCGAGGTCCTTCGTCACGACGGATCGCTTGCGCAGAAGGACGTCCGACCCGGGAATGCGGACGTACGTGGTCGATGAGAAGAGACGCCAGAGATCGCGCACCGTCTTGGTCTTGCCGTTCATACCGAGCACGTAGAGCTTCAGGTTCTCGTCGCGGGAGAAGCGGGCTTCGAGTTCCTTGAGAGTGTAAGACACTTTCCAGGCCGGGCAATCCATGGATGGAAGGAGTTCAGATTTGTCGTTGAACTCCATGCGAGCGAGGTTGGCTGCGCAAGCAATCTCAACTCCGACATCATCAGTCTCAATGTTGATGAGTGAGACAGTCGGGGCGCTCGATCGCTGCACCGCTGACAGTCTGGTATCGCCGGGTAGCCAGAAGTGGTTGAGGGACCGGAAGGACAGGGCATCCCGCAGATCCCACCTAGCATCGTTCTCCGTCTGCCCATCAACCACGACAAAACCTTCCTTGTTGACCTTCTGAGAGTACGCCGTCTTGACAAGGAAGTTTCGGGGCCAGTGGCCAGAGTACCCGCGCGCCATGATACCAGTCGTATGCGGAGCCCCAAAAGCATGTCCGACCTCGTGCAAGAACGCGCCCTGCCCAATCGAACAAGCCTCCCAGAACGTCCCGCACTCTCCGTTGTCGTCGCCGACTGTCTGTCCTGGGGCGCGAGTGTCGAGAAGACAGTCCGAGACTTCCTCTAGGAACCGAGGCCACGAGTACGTCAGGTGACTGCCCATCATGCCGAGGGACACACCAGTCGGGTTATGACATCCCAGTGCGGCGTGGCCGAGGATGAGTTTCTTGCTCACAGAAAAGTGCGAATCAAGAATCATACCCGCGACAACTGGATGCGCCGAAGCCTCGAAAGGCGAACCCTGGGCCGCAAGGGCATCCAAAAAGTAGTCAAACAATCCATCTCTTGACTTTGCGGTCTCGTTCTGTTGTGCAACCTCCGCGTCACGGATCTCTGCCGTCGTCCTCTCCGATCGAACAATATGGACTTTGGCAGTAGAGCGCATGGCACCACTGTCAAAGAGAGCATCTTCGTGCAGCCCGTTCAGAAACTCGCGGCTAGTCGTGTCGGCAGCCCATTCCTCCTCCAGCCTAAAGGAGCGACGGCCGAGACCCTTGAGTCGCATGTCTTCGGCGGTGAGGGCTTGCCACATGTACGCAGACATGCGGAGCTTGGCGATGGCAGCATCGAGAGAAGAGTGAGCTGTAGAAGTGGCGCCGTGTTTGAGAGGCGGGCAGTCGATGAGGAGAGGGGAGTCCTTTGCGACCATTACGGCGAGGTGGAGAGGGGGTAATTGGAGGAGGGGGATGTATGTTAGGTTGAGCTCGTTGGTGATGGTTTGAGTGCCGGATGTGCGGGTGATGGTGAGTGTGTTGAGGCCTGGGGAGAGTAGGGCGATGATTTTGATCCTGTTATCTGCGATGGGCCAGGTTTGGGTTGGGAAAGTCGTGTTTGTGCTGTCGTTAGCCTCGACTGTTGCAAAGTCATCGCAAACGTTAGAGCCCGGCGTGTAGGTTCCTTTGATGATTACACAGCGCTATTTGAGGGCAAAGTCAGAAGCGTATCTTTCAGACGATGTGCTCTTAGTGATGGTGTGCGTTCATCACGTACCTGGTGAACCGTCTCACCGTCAGTGAAGTTGTTAAATCTGAGAGACATGGAGGCGGTTTCTTGAGCTGAAACGGGAGGCATCTGAATGTGTGAAATATGATCTAAGGGGTTATTCTTATCGTAAAGAATGTACATATCCTATACGTGTGTTGAGATAGGTTGTTGATGAGGATAGGCAACAATGATCTGCTTGAAGGTGATGACTCTCCTAATGTAAATTTCCAATGGCCGTTCCCTCTCATCTTTATATTCAGCAACTGCACATCAACTTCATACAATCTCAAGGATGAAGTCAAAGTCCTAACGCAATTCACATGGCATCGGACGGGGATGAATTTCAGGCAGAACTGCCACTAATAAACACTACCGAGCGTCGTGCCGCTCAGCCGGGGTAGACTGCCTGATTTCCCCGGTCCCATCGTCTCCACCTTTCCGGGGCTACCCCTGAACCGGGCCCGTTCCCCCAGGCCAGACTCTAGGCAGCATGGCGGTCGAGACCTCCCAATTCTTGAAGGATTATTCACAGGCAGTTTAAGAAGCTAATCGCATGGAAACTCATCCTAAGCAATTAGGAGATCATTAGGAAGCGGCGCATTGATGGGTGACTCATTTCCAAAGTCTCCAGAGTCTTTCTGCTTCAGTGAACGTTCATCCGAACTTTTGGTGAGTTTTTGGCGTCAAGATGAGAGGATGCCGTGAAAAGATTCACCGATACGAGATATTGAGAAGTCTGCCGAGCAGGATTTTGGATTTCCTGCATGTTTGGGAGGCTTCCGCCCTGAATGGCATCCAAAGACATTGAGACTGGCGATGACGTTGCATGAACCTGGGTGGGCTTGCTCTTGGTTTCCCTCGATGCTGTGTTGCTTTGCAGAGTAAACTTTGGTGGAGTCTCACGATGAGATCATCTCACTTCTCAAAGGACGAAGGACATTTTGCGAAGATCCGTATGGATTCCATAGGTAAGTGATGCATCGTGCTTCCCCCAAGATATACTCATCCATAGACCCCGAAACTCACCCGACCCGTGACGGTTGGCGAGCTTTCACAAAAGGGTTTGAAGAAGATCGCCATCTTGGCGTTTGAGTCCTATTCATTTGAATACATTCATCCACCGTCCGACAGACGTCTACCACGACGCGCCATCCATCACCATCACGGACTCAAACCTCACAACTTCAACCCGTCCATCATCCCCTCCAACAAAACCCACTCCTCCGTCCCCTCCCACGCCTCCTTTCCTCTACTCATCACACTCCTAACCGCATTCCTCGCCTTGCCTCTCCACCGAGTGCCCACACTCTCAACCTCGCTCCCAAAGTTCTCCAACACACTAACAAGCTCGTCCGTCCTCGCGACAACAACCTTCCACGCCCCCTTATCCGCAAGCCAATTCCGGCTCAAATCGTCCCCGGCCCCGCCCGATCCCGCCGAAGAAGCCTTCAACCCACCGCCCGCACCGGCCCCCATCGCCGCCCTCCAAGCCTTCTCCGCAGCATCCACGGCGCCGGTGTAGTCCCGTCTCCACACCCGCTCTCGGACAATGAGCTCCCACAGCTCTGACCGTGTCGTGATAAGCGGCACAACACTCTCCTCGAAAAGCGCAACGACGGCCTTCTCAATAGTACCCCGCGGCGGGACGTATACCCCCGTCTTACTCTCGTCATTCTCCTTTTCCTTGGTGAGCACGCTCTCCTGGAGCAGCGCGCGGAGGACGTCGTCGTCGAGCGCGTCCTCGGTGTTGCGAATGCGGATGATGGCGCGGAGGGCCTGCACCATCTCCGAGACGGCGGGCGGACGCATCCGCGACGCGAGGGTGAGGACGTTGTCCCAGATGCGCCAATTATCCTGCGCGATCGATGCGCCGCGCTTGTAGGCCGCCAGGGACTGGGATAGCAACGTAGCCGGGTCCTTGGCCTTGCTCTCCCGCTTCTTCGGCTCCTCGTCATCTTCGTCCTCTGCTTCTTCGGTTGACGCATTTGCTTCCGCCGTGCCATTCTTCTTCTCCTCGATAATCTGCTTCTTGACCTCCTCCACGGCCTCGAGGTACATGCTCCAAAGCGAACTGCCCAAGTTACTCCACGTCCTCGCGTCCTCGCCGCCAACGACATCCCCAGCGGCGCCAATCGCCCGACTATACGCCTCCGCGGCATCCGGGAACTGGCCCAGCCGGAGACTGATATCGCCCAACCGGCTCCACATCTCGGGACTCAACCGGTTACACTGCGTCGCGAGCTTATATGCGTCCTGCGCCTTGGTCCACTCCTTTTGCGAAAGGTACCACTCTCCCAACGACTTTTGCGCGCGCGCAAACCGCCGGTTCGAAATCTGCCAAGCCCGCTCCCAGTGCGCCGGCTCGTTCTCCAAATCACCAAGGATACAAAACAGCCTCGGCGCGTTTGGCGGCGGCGGACTCCGTTCGGGGCCGGTGAAGTCGGCAGGGTTGAGGTACGTCACATCCCGCGCGTCAAGGTCCTCCGCATCAGCATCCGCGTTCTCGACGACAGGTTGTCCCGTGCGATGGAACAACCGCCAGCGCACGAGCGCCTTGGCCTTCTCCTCGCCGCCGTTGCCGCGGCCTGAGTCGTCGTCGTTGGAGGCGCTGCTGGCGAGGCAGAGCGCGACTTCGGCCCAGAGGCGCAGACGCTTGAAGATTTCGAGGGCGGAGACGAGGGAGCCGACGCCGGCCCATGAATAGGCGAGTTCGGACTCGAGGTGCCATTTGGGAGGGGAAGAGAGCGCGTGGATGTACTGCAGCCGGACGTGGGCGGGGGCGGTATCCGTTTCCTTGGCGGCGGGGAAGAAAGATGTGGGCTTCTCCGTGTCGACGGGTGCCGCGACGGCAGTGTCGATCTCGGGCTCACCTGGGGCGGAGACGGCGATGGCGGGGACGTCGGCGGGTTCGTTGTTGGCGACATCTTCGGCTTTCGGGCGGGGTACTTCCGAGGTGTCGACAACGACTTGGTCCACGACGGCTTGCATCTGCAGAACACCTCTTTCGACTGTTCTGCTGCGGTGAACTTCAATGCGGGAGCGGACAAGGAGGGCTTGCGAGTAGATTTGCCAGTTTGTAGCCTTGTCCGAAACCACGCGCACGGCGTAGGGGAGAACCTCCTCTGAAGTCAGAGTGTCGACGGGAGAAAAGGTATCCTTGAGTGTTGCTTCAGTAAGGAGAATAATCTGGTCGAGGGGCGACAGCTGCGGCTGCGCCTCTGGAGACAAATCTGCCAGCGCCGCGGGAAGCCCCGAAGATGTGGCAGCGAGCTCTCCATGCTTGCCGCTCGCCTCCTTGGAGAACTGAATCTCCTCGAGCAGGGTATCATCATTGAGGGCAACAGCCTCAGGCTTGGCCTCCTCCTCGCCGTCTGCTGCCGTTCCCTCGCCCTCGGTCGTATCATCGCTCTTTGCGAGAACAACAAGCTGACTCGTGCTCTTCTCCTGGAATTTCGTCCTCTTTCCCAGCGCACCAGAGAGCGCGTACGCAAAGTTGTTCAACTTGGTCGCCTCCTCCAGCGCCTCACGCGCCCGATCATCCCGGCCGAGCATAATGTGCGTGTTGGACACCTCAAGCAAGAACTGCACCCTCTCTTCGCGTGACCAGGCCTCCTCGCTCGTCGACCACACATCCTCGTCAAGGATTTGCTTCCGGACGGTCTCCATGCCGAGATTAATCTGCTCCGCCAGCGTCGGGACGTCAATCCACTGCGATGCCTTTGCAAAGTTGGCGCCGGGGCCGAGGGACGGCTGGCTGAGCAGCTTGAAGTGCCATACGTTGACGCGTAGGCGGGTCCAGGGCAGACTCAGGCGGGATGAGGTAGAAGAAGAGAGTTTGATGATGGCATCGCTGGCCGAGGAGGCTTCGTGGAAGACAAAGCGGGCGAGCGCAAAGAGCTCAATGTGCGGGATGTAAGGATACGGTGAGACGCCGTCGACTTCGAGGGCCTTGAGACTGTCTTTGCGTAGCGCCTTGAGGGTGTCTGCTGATGATCCTCTTTCGTCATTGCCTGCCGTGAAGGCCTCAGTGAAGAGTGCTTCTACCTTGTGAGCGTGCTCCAGCACGGGACCCGTGACGTTTGACTGCAAAAACGCGTTGAGGGCGGCAAGACCTATAGCGATCTCATCTTCGGATAGTGACTCTTTTGACGTTGCTGTGGGATTGGCATTTTCTCCGCCGGTCTGGGCTTGAAGACTGGTGGTAAATCTGGTGATGAGATCCTTAGCCACTGAAGACGTCAAGACATCGATGTAGGCGCCATCTGTGAACCGGGAAAGCAGCGAGGCCGTAGCCTGAGGGCCATTTGTTTGCGCATCCGTCATGGCTCAAATGATGTATTCGAATGTGGAATCAATGGTTGCGCCTCGCTTGTGATATCGAGGGGTTCTGGGTCGCGATAAGTGACCTTTTCTTTTCTGCCCCGCGCGTCGCGGGGTAGTTTCGCCAGAAAGAAATGCTCGATGACCTCGCTTTTTCTGGATAGAAAGTATCCAGAGATAAAGGAGTTAGGCTCACTCGTAGTTCGATTTTGTCTAGAATATCACAGGTGACAATATTCGTCTTGGTTGAAGATCAAGTGACTCAGACGGTGAATTCGGCGTGTTTCGATGCCCTGTGAAATCGAAATTTCCATGGTGGGGGCGGGGCAAATTTTCACCTACCGCCTTACATAAGCCACTCACCTTGCATCTCACCGAAAACATCTCCACCTTAGGTACCTCAACTTCGACCTCAAGTACTTCAAAGACTCACTCACCATGGCCCATCTCATAAAGCTGCAAGCCAGCCAAAAGTGGCATCACGTTGTAATGTGGGACACGCCCTTACAACAATGCTTTCTGACATGCTACCTATCGCTACAGTAGAGCGCTTACATACGCTGTGTACCAATGACAGTAATCCTGAGCCACAACTTCGCCGTTTAGACATGATCGTCAAGCATAGCCTAATCAGAGAGTTCCAGGCCATCCTCCGCCGCGAATTTTCCCGCAGCATTTTCTAATTGTTCTTCTTTCTCGCATTCTTGCGGGTGCCTTTGATACCAGCGTCACCAGCGGCAGCGGGTGGCTGCTCCTAGTTGCTCTTCTTTCCTGCCTTCTTGCGCGTGGGCACAACCTTGAAGCCTGCGCCTTGGATACCG